CTTTTTTTTTTTTTTTTTAAAGATTCCTGGAACTCTACATAAAATTGTCAGTGTTAAGCTCATGGCCATTCAGAATGGAAGAGATCCAAACAGAGACACAGGTAATCTGAAAAATATTATTTTCATAATCTTCCAAAAATAAATTCTATTTATTTGAAAGTGTTTTGCTGTAAGTAGTTGTACTTCAATTTCAACTAAACTTTAAACAGTCGCTCCACATACTTAGCAGAACCTCCTTCTGCTCAGAAACAGCTTGACCAGGGTTAGAAAATCAGCAGTGCTTAGCATCTTCAGTGCATTTTACAAAATGGGGAACATAAGTATAAAGATATTGCTTGATTTTTGTATTTAAATCTGAAGAATAGATTCATTAACTGAAGTTTTTACTTTTAATATTTAAGGATACATATTTTGCCAGAGAATTGATCAAAGTGATTATTCTGACCATACACAGAAGACAACCAAGGATGAGTTATTGAATTTATTAAAAACTATTGATAAGGATCCAAAACTATCTGCCAAAGAGAAGAAAAAAATGTTAGGTCAATTCTATAAGTGTCACCCCGACATCTTTATTGAATATTTTGGAGACTGAGCTTTTAAAGACTGTATATAACTTGTGTATTTTAAGAGTTGTGTATTTTAAGAGTTATGTATCCTAAAGATTCAATCACATTTGTAATTTTGAATGTTCTTCTAAATATGAAACTACTTAATAAAAATTTTTTTGTATAACCTTTTGTGTCTGAAACTGAGTTATTAGATGGTGTATTGTTAAGTATTGACCTCTCTTAGGTGAGCTGATTTATAATTATGCACAATATTTTATTAGAAAATCATAGGAATTTAAATGATATGACATTGTAGTGTTTACATAAGAAAATATTAATAAGGATCTCCATAAGTACAAGTCAATAGGAGTGTAGTTTGTATCTTAAAGACACAAGATTTAAAGATACAAGATTTGATAAAGTGAATTTGCTAATTACCATAAACTGTAGACAAATCAGAAATTGAAATTTCCTAATGCTTTTGAAAAATTCAACATCTTTTAAAGGTTATTGTGGAAATTTGCAAATTTTAATTATATAAATGGGGAGAATAGAATGTTGAACCCCCACATACTTATCCAGTTTCAAGAATTGTCAGCTCATGGCCAATCTTGTTTCATCTATACCTCCACCCATTCCTTTGTCCCACCCCAGCAAATTTCAGACATTATATCACTTTATCTATACATTTCAGTATGTTTGACTAAAAGATAAAACATTGAAAACCCAACCATGATATTATCGCACACAGACTCACAATTACTTAATATTATCAAATGTGCAGTGTTAACATTTTCTGATCTTAAATGATTTTGACAGTTTATTGAAATAGGTATCCAACATAGGTACAAAATTTGCAATTGGCTAATGTGCTTCTTAGGACTCTTAATCTATAGGTTCTTTTCTTTATTCCTCCTCTTATTCTTCTCACATTTCCCTCCCCCACCCTCCCTCTCTACCTGGTCACTTGTTCATATCTACTCGTATATTTCTTGGTCATTTGAGCTAAAGTTGTTAACATCTTTTTATCCATGTTAATGATTATTTTGGAACTACTGGTTTGTCAAGATATATTTAGTAAATACACAAGCAATATAATACAATTTGAAGTTCAACCTTATAATAAAACCAAGATTAAAATGAGACTGAATTTCATCTGTTAAAAACTTAGGCTTTTAATGAAAGGTAGGGAAAACTAAAATGATGCACCAATATGCTAGCATGTCAACGATTCTTTTATTTTCTAAGATATAACTGGTAAGTATTTACACAGGAGAAATTTATAACTTTATGTCAGCTTTTTGTTGTTTGCATAGGCAAGAAGGGAAGGTAGCTCTCTTTACAATGAAGTGAAAGAAAATAGTTCATTTAGGTGTAAGGAAGTTTTCAAAAACTACTGAAAGTGGTGCGACCATAGTTGGCAGAGCAACTGTGTGTGCACTACCTGATTTGCAACCTTTATTTTGCACATAATCAAATAGTTTGGGTTGCCAAATAATCATGCTAACACCTCTCCTTCAGGGCAATGAAGAACTAAATGCCTAATTATATCCATGCCCTAGGGAAAAAAATAGCATTCTAATAATTTCACAGAAAATCTAGTAAAACCACAGTTGACCTCAAACGTCATAATCAAGAGCAGAATAGTTTTCAGAAATGTCAGTCATGTTTACTGTAAGCAATGTCAGTAGTATGCCAAATGCCTTGGCTAACCATCCTGTATCAGTAGAACTGTCATCTGCTGTGCACCCTCATTCACTCAGGATGCCCTGCTGGGGACCCACCCCCACTCACACCCGATTTGTCGGTGTCTGTGAGCCTCACCACCAACCTAGCTGAGACAGCCTTCCTGTTGAATGAGACTGACTTTCCACAAAATTATCTTGACCAAATTCTGTATAGAAAAATCTAAACTACGAGGGAACAACAACTAAGAAATTAAAAGAAACCAGTCTAGTGTAGAGGGAGGAGTGAAGCAGACTGCAGCCAGGAGCGGAGACTTGCTGAGAGCTTGTGTGACTTGAGATGACAGAGCAGTGCTGATCTCTAGGGCAGCTGCCAGTTTTCTCCCAAAACCTATGCAGCCTTGCAGTGAACTCTCTTTACCTTGAGCTAACTTGAGTTTCCAGTCTTTGTAGCCAAAACCAAAACATGTGTCAATATGCTTTTTAATATTTAAAGGAAACAACTCAGAATATAACAAAAGGTCACAAGGCATTCCAAGTCCAATCTGGTTTTTGTATTGTCGCAATGACCTCTCAACATGTGAAAATTGTTTATATTAATCGAAGGAAGGAAGGGCACGCTCACTAGGGGCCTTGAGGTAGGAGGTAGATCTTGCTAGGAAGGTGATTCATCTGGCTACCTGGTAGAATCAGCTGGCAGCTGAATTAGAATTCTTGTCTGGCATCACCAACGCCCTCCCCCCGAGTTCAGATGATAGTCCTAGACTGCCCCCCAGGAGATGCTAAGGTGTAGTCAGGATTGAGAACCACTAATCTGGAAACTCTATGATCTACCAACTTGGGCTCAGAAGTGAGAACTGAATGTTTTCTTTGTGAATCTTAGTTCCAGTTAGTTCAGTACCTTAAGTGTTTTTTCCTCCTAGTGAATATTCATCTGACGATGTGTGTGTATTTAGGGAAAAATAATGGTTTGAGGGTGTTGTATTGCAGTCTTAGCCTTCAATATGTTAGTGATAACAGCCCACACGTGATCTATTTAGAAGTAGTGTTTGAAAATGTCAGTTTCACTACATCTTTTTTGTTCTAATTATTTAAATATAACAAGTTTATAAGCTACAGCTGGAGGATGATTCTTACCTTCACTTTAAGACATACATGATTTATGCTCAGCCTTAAAGTATTTTTACAATGCATAGTGAAGAATTCCATACCTTTTACTTTTTAAGATTAGGCACAAAAACTATTTCTATTCATGTTCACTATCTTACTGCTACAGGGTGGGAGAAGCATGGCTTTCCTGGAATAGCCCTGAGATAGTTTCAACCCCCACTATCTGGGATGGAGGAAAATGAAGCTCCAAAACAAGCCTATCCTAAAATGATAGTTTTCCTTTCTAGAATATATGCTCTGAAGGCTCCGCGTATTTATGAACTACCTAAACCGAGCTGAACCCTCGAGGGCCCTGTGTGCCCCCTTGCCTTCAGTCTTCTCAGGGCTACAATCTTGCTCTTCCTACCCACAAAGTGCAGCAGCCCCTTTAAGAGAGGACCTCCAAACCAAACCTCGTCTGCGCGACTCCAGCTGTCACCAGACAGGAGGCCGGGCCCCGAGTGGGTCTGCCTAGGGCCAGCTGGTAGTGCGCAGGTTTTTGACTTCGTGTAGGGAAGATGTCCCATCTCGAGTCCAGGTGTCTAGGAGGGAGCCGTTATGAAAGCTGGGGACAGTAAAACAAGGAAGGGCATAGCATAGAAGCAGCAACAAGAGAGCCTAGGCTGGGCTGCCTTAGCTCACTGAGAAGTCAGAGAAAAGGGGGCCTTGGGCACAGGCTCAGGGGGTTAGCCTAGGACCAGCTGCCACCGCCATTGCTCCTCCGGGTGCAAGGCTGGGACCCTTAGAATTTCCAAGTGTGCCTGTCAAGGAATAAGCGGCGGGAAGAGAATAGCAGGGGCTGGGTCCTTCCGCTTTAGTTTTCCTGTCAGGCGGGATGTCATCTTAGGAGAGGTCTGAGAGGAGGGTTCCAGCAGAATAGCTATCGGCTTTCCAGGTGTGCTCTTTGAGGGCTGTGGTCTCCACTGATGGGTCAGCACCAGGGCAGCGCCCCGGTACTCATTGCAGCTGGTCCCGGTGTCGCCCGCCTGGTTTTGCTGCTTTTCTGGGCCTGGGGCTGAACTATACAGCTGAAGCCTAGATGTTCTCTCTCAGAGGCGCGACCTTCTGTATCTGGCTATAAATGCCTTGGTCAGGTTGTTCAGCTACCTGTTTCCCTATTCCACTAGCCAAGAAATTTTCCCGGTTTCTTACTATATCCTGCCTCAAGACCTGGCTATCCAGGTAGCAACCATGACTTTTTTAATAGCCCAAGTGAGGGGAGAGAAATAGAAACTACCTGCAACCGTAACACAGGACGTAATATTTAAATTCGAAAACCTGGGCGGGAAAGCTTTGAAAGCGGTTCCGGCGAAGAGGCAGGCCCTTTTCCTTCACTTGCCTGGCTGGCGCCTCGCCTCCTTTACATCAAGGTCCTCTCCCACCAACCGTCCGCCTTTCCGTACGCAAACATGGCGCCTCCCAGCTCGAAGCCCCGCCTCTCGCCTTTCCGTACGGAATCATGGCGTCCCCCTACAAGGGGCTTGCGCCTCCTGGTTAACAACTGCTTCTCCCTGCCTGTCGCTGAGAAACGAGGACGCCGGCCGCTACCCACCAGAGCCCGGCCGGGAGCACGGCCTGCAGCGCGGCGAAGGACGCGGCCTCTGAGGGGCAGAGGGTGAACCGCGTGCCCGCCGCGCATCGCTCCCCGCCTCCGCCGCGGCGCCGCCCCGCCTCATTCCCCGCCCCAGCGGCAGCAGACGGAACGCCGATTCTTCGGCAGGTGAGGGGAGCGGGTACGGAGGCTGGAAGCACGAGGTGGAAATCACGGGGAGTTCTTGGCCCTCTTTCCCGTCGCGTCCGGTCCCGGTGATGTCGGGTGGAGGCGAGGAAGAGGCAGGTACAGTGGGCGGGTTTAGCGCGGCCTCGGTCCCACCCCTCGAGGCCGTCCTCCAGGCGCGCCCGGCGTCCGCTGCCCGTTCCCGGCGGGGCCACTCCCTCGCCGGCCCAAACAGTTGTTTACAACGGCATCTGGACGCTGGGAGTGAGTGGCACCGAGGGCCAGAGGAAGTGATCCCGGAGTCGGTGGACAGAGCCCCTTTATTTTGCTGCAAGGCTCTTTCTGCCCGGGAGTCCCTAGTGTCCCGCTTGGGCCCGGCGTGAAGCTCAGATAGACGGTGGTCACGGCAAGTGCGAGGATCCTCCTACTTTCGGTTCCCTTTTTTTAGGCATAGCAGGAGTTGGTGATTGTTGAATGAATGAGCACACTGTAAGTAATTAAATGCATCCTATAGCCCTGTAACTATAAGTACCAGTTGTGTGCCATCTGTTGTTATGCACGTTCTGTCGTTTAAACTCCCCCCAAACCGAAGAGGGACAGGTTAGCTGCTTCTTACAGATGAGAAAACTGAAGTTCCCCAGCTAGTAAAGAGCCAGAATTGGAACCCAAGTATGTCTGGGACCAACGCCCGTCCCTCCCAAATGCACTGACATCACAGAGATGACACAGCTATCGACGTCCTTCGCGGGTATCTGTTTGGGGTACATTCTTATAGATATGGTGCCTATGCGGGGGAATATAGTTGGCCTTGGCCCTTGAGAAGTTAAAAATCTAGGTGAAGCGTTTTTTTAAAAAAATAAAATAAAAACTAGCCATTTTACAATTTGGACCCAACCCATCTTTTCACCTTAAGCACCTGCCACTTGTTCTGCTACTCATTTTCGTGTGCCTTCCCTTGTGCCCTTTGAGTGAAATGCCCCCCTTTTCACTGCCTGTCCCCTTCCAGACATTTTTTTTTAATTGGACGAAGTCCTACTCTTTTCAAAAAGTCCAACTCAAATGTCGCCTTTTCTGGGAAGTTTATTGCACCCTCTTCCAGGCAGAATTAAGTTTCTCCTGCTACATTTCCTTAGTGATTTCATAATACCATTACAGCTTAAGTTTCTCTGTGTTTCCTTGTAAAAATGTCTGTCTCTCCCTCTAGACCATGCCTTTTCGTCTTTCTGTTACTATTTAATAAGCATATTTTGAATTGGATTTAAGTCAATTATGAATGCCAGATGTCTGGTCCTACAGGAGTTTGAGAAAGGTGCAGATCCCGCTGAGGCTGGGGGAGTGTCCTGGGAGGAGCTCGGACTTAAGCCCATATTAGAAGGATCGAATCTGGAAGGGATGGGTTAGTTTACTTAGCTGAGTATTAGAGACCTGGAAATCCTGCCTTTCCTCCTTACTGCACAGAATGAATTACTTCACCGTTTCTGAGCTCATTCCCAGCATGTGAAGAGGATAAAATTAGAAGTGATTTTGTGTGTCCTTTTTCATAGGATATGCTGGTAATGTTATCTTCTGTAACTTGGAGCATTTCCAGAGTCAAATAGGATTTAGGACAGAGAGGAGATGGGTGTCTGAAGTGAGATGTTGGAAGTTAAAGGGAAACTGCTTTAAAGCCATCTTCATATTAATAATACAGGCCTGAAAATGTAAATTCCAGTAACTTCATTCTATTTAATGGAGGTATCTAAAAATTTCAGATAATTACATCAAGTGATTCTTCTCTAATGTGCAGAAAAGAGTCTGCCAAATCTTCCCGAAGCAGTCGACATTGTTTTGGGTCCCCGGATTATCTTCCAGGTGTGTAATTAGAGTTCATGAAAACATTTTGTGATCTTCAAGTGCTAATAATACAGATACTAATTTTTTCAGTAGTAGAAATGCAGGAACATTACCTCTTTCTTCTCCCTTAATTGGAAGCACCTGGCGCATAGAGAACTCTAAAACTGGGCGGGGCAGGGGGGGTGCGTTGGCGGGGTGGGAACAGCTTGACAAAAACTTATGCAATAAATAAGAGGTTAGTATTCCAGGCCTTTATTTATGGCCCAAACCGATGTGTTATTTCTATTCTAATAAGCAATTAAGACAATTAACACCCCACCCAACCACATATATTACGGTTATTTCCAACTTCCTACTTTACTCACCATCTTTTTCTGTTGACTGGCAAGGAGTTAATAGTTTTATTAACTCCTTGCCAGCCCCACACATTCTTTTTAAATGCTTCATAAAATTCTACCTTCTGTCATCGCCAGGTGTCCTATTTATATAATGAGATCAGGGAACCAACTCCTCAGCCCAGCGTGTTCACTTGGAAGCCTGATTAAAAAGCATTATTTCCAAAGATTTCCTACCAGCACTCAGGAATGAAAGAATTTAAGAATTGACTCGGTCTTTGAATTAAAATACAGGCAAGCATTTTATAGTGTCACCCTCTGACAATTTAAAGCCCTGTGTTCTCATGACATGGTACTCAGGAGTTATACAAAAATATTCAGACATGTTACTCTCTGAGATGCAGGCCCATAAATTTGATAAATAACAAGTGTCATTTTACAGGTATCTGTTTAATCATTGAAGTAGACTATTATAGTTCGATAAGATCTTAGCAAGCCTATCTATTTTACAGATGAGAAAGCTGAAACCCAAAGAGATTACTGATTTTCCTAAAGTCACACTGCTAGCTACTGACAGAACTAGAACATTTTGGTTCAGTTTTTTCCTTTCCTAGGTTCATTTTTTTTTCTTTTTTAGGGAATTGAATAAAACTTAATTGAGAATGTCTGAAAACTTTGACAAATCCAATATAAGTGAAGCAGGAAAATCAAAATCAAATGATTCTGAGCAAGGCCTTGAAGATGCTGCAGAAGGTTCTGATGAAGCTTTACAGAAAAAAATAAAGTCGGGCTCTCCTAGCACCCAAAGAGTGCAAAGACCTCACTGTAAGCAAATTTGACTTTTGTTATAAGCAATATTATCTTATTTTCAGATGATATTTTTATTAGGCTTCCTTGTACATGTCGCCCTGAACTAGGTTCCAATAATATGGTAACATTGCCAACAGTGAGCATTTATGAATAGCAACAGTTTCTCAAGTTGTGGATTTTCAATTGCATGAGAAATTAAAATTTTAGAATAATGTCCGGAATGTTCCTGTTTTCCTCCAGCCTCAGTAACGTTCCAGTTTCTCTGAAGTGCTCTGAGAAATGGAGGTGGAAGAGGGTATAAGGGGGTAAATGATAATGGAAAAAAATTATGATAAAAAATAATTAAAAAAGGAAGAGGAGGGCAGAGTACAATTGTGGCTGTAATTTAAAGAGTGTGTGAAAAGTCTGAGGCAGGTTCCAGCCAGGACTCTGCTTGTACAGGTTTAAAAAAGGGTGGGGGGAGGTGTGTGGTTTGAATGGGAGTGACTTAACCACAGCCTACATTCATTGCCTGGGGGCTGAGTTCCCACAGGGTGAGGGCATACAGATTGCTGATCATCTGTGGTGAAGTCACTACAGATTCCTGGCAGGGAGAGGGTTTCCTAGATGAAAGGCTGGCAATTTCGGCACAGATTCCCAGCAGTTGCCCCAACTCATGTCCTTTATTAAGAATACTTAAACTTTCTGAAGTGAGTCCAAAAAATGAAAGTTTTAAGAGGGAATATCATAGTCTAAGAATGCCAGTGCTGATGTTATCTCTCTAAAGTATAAATGATCAGTAATTTTTCATATTTGGAAAAAGTACAGACATTTTCATGTTTGAGGTGTGCTGCTTTTAAAACTATCAAAGTCCTTCCCAAATAACTTCTTAATCAACATAGTATTCTTCTTTTGCGGGGGAAGGGGGGAATCACGTATGAGCACATAATGAACTTTCATTCATGTGGCTTCAAGGTACCTGGTCACAGGACTCCTGCAACATTTTCTTTCCTTCCTCCCTTAATTTTCTTTCTTTCTTTTTTCTTTCTTTTCTTTTTTGAAAGATTTTATTTATTTATTTTTAGAGAGAGAGGAAGGAAGGGAGAAAGAGTGAAAGAAATATTGATGTGAGAGAGAAACATCAATTGGTTGCCTCTCTTAGGTGCCAGAACCAGGGACTGAACGTGCAACCCAGTCATGTGCCCTGACCAGGAAGCCAACCAGCAACCCTTTGATTTGCGGGAGGACGCGCAACTAACTGAGCCACAACAGTCAGGGCCACCCTTAGGTTTCTCTTGAGCTCTTCTGCTGAAGAATTTGGCCTTCATGATGACAGGCTGCTTTGGGAGCTTTTTCTTCCCCAGAACTTTGTAGTAGCCCAGTCATACCACATCAGTGATAAGGAGCAGCTGCGGTCTCATTTTTGGCAGCATTTAGCCATGTCTGCTCACTGAACAAGGTCCACTGTTCATCAAAGTTGACGATTAGGCCAAAGTTCTGGTTCCTCTTTAAGTGGTAATGCCTCCCAAAGTAACCTGCGTGATGTTCATCAAAGTTGATCCTGTGCGGATGCGTGCCACCAGCATTATCTCAGCCTCCCAGAGGCTTCTGGTGCTTGCCAATGAGGCTGAGGCTGTGGCTGTGGCCCCGAAGTTTCCAGGTCTTTCTCAGTCTGGATGGTGTGTCAGTGGCCAAGACAAAAGTTAACATAGTATTATTATGTTAATACTATGCATTGCTCAGAGAACTTGGTGTGTTTCTGTTATTTTCATAAATTTAAGATGATTAGATGTTTGGAGATTTTTGCAAAACAAGGTTAAAACAAAGGTGGCAATCTCTGAATTTCTTCTTAAGAGATTAAGAATTCAGAGTTTAGTGACTCCAGCTGTTTGATATTCATATACCATGGTGGAAATTTCATTTTCTGATAAATGGTAACAGAATATACTAGCTTGAAGAAATTTAATAGTTATTGTATATTTAGTAAATCCCTACTGAGTGCCTTTGAAATTTTAATCAACTTTATTGAGGTATGATTTTTTAAAAAATTCTTATCCAAGGACATGTTTATTGATTTTAAAGAGGGAAGGAGGGAGAGAGAGAGAGATCGACTGATGTGAGAGAGAAACATTGATTGCTTGCCTCCTGCATGTGCTCCAACTGGGACAAACCTGCAACCTAGGTATGTACCCTGACCAGGGATTGAACCTGCAACCTTTTGGTGTATGGGATGATGCTCCAACCAACTGAGCCACCTGGCCAGGGCAAGATATACTCTAGATATAATAAAATTTACCAATTTTAAGGGTGCAGTTTGATGAGTTTTGGCCAATACATTTACAGTTCTGCCACTCACTACCATCACAATCATGTGCTGCTAAAACATTTCCATCACCCCCCAAAATGTTCTTGTGCCCCTTGGCAGTCAGTCTTCCCCCTCTCCCACCATCCTTTGGCAACCACTGATCTGCTTTCTGTCACTATAGTTTTGCCCATTTTATAATTTCATATAAATGGAGTCATGCTATATAGTCTTTTGTATCTGACTTTCTCACCTGGGATAATGCTTTTAAGATTCAACCACGTCTGTATCAGTAGTTTGTTCATTTTTATTGCAGAGTAGGAATCCACTATGTGGTTATACTATACTTTGTCCATTCTTCAGTTGATAGACATTTGAATAGTTCTAGATTTTGACTGGTATGAGTAAAGGTGCTATCAACATTTTAGTACAAGTCTTCACATGACCATATGTTTCAGTTTTCTTAGGTAAAGACCTAGCAGTGGTGTTGCTGGGTCATGTGCTAAGTCTGTGGTTTACTTTATAAGAAACCAAGAGCCTATTTTCCAAAGTGACTGTACCATTTGCATTCCCACTGCTTATGTATGAGAGTTCCAGATGTTCCACATCTATGTCAATATTTGGTATGACCAGTGTCTTTAATATTGGCCATTCTAGTAGGTGTGCAGTAGTATCTCGGTGTGGTTTTAATCTGAATTTCCCAATTATAAAAGAAAAATCATATCATTTTCTACCTGTGTGGAGACAAACTCAGTCCATCCTCGTGTTTTTCTTCTGTGTGTCACCTTTACTACGCCCTCAGAACACTTAACTCCTGATCAACAAATGTGTGGGGTTCCCCACCCCCACCAACCAATTATCTGTGATACCGTCTGGGTACCCTACAGTGCAACTAAAATCTGCCACTGTTTACCTGGAGACAGCATCAGGACTCTTACGTTAAAGCCTCAGTCCCACAAGACTGCCTCTACTTCAGTTGCCAGTCGCAAACCCAGGTTATTGCCTGTGCTCCTGACCAAGCACCTATAGATTGGGGGTTCCAGCAGTCACTTCTTGAATTCAGTTAATTTGCTTAATTTAAGCATCTCACAGAACTCAGGGGGATACTTATGTTTACCAGCCAATTAAAGGATATGATGAAGGATACAGACGAACAACATGATGGGGAGATACATAGGGTGAGGTCTGGCAGGATCCCAGGCTCAGGAGCTTCTGTCCCCGTGGAGTAGGGATATATCACCCTCCCTGTATGAGTGTGTTGGCCAACCTGGAAGCTCTCCGAACCCCCTATTATTGGCATTTTATGGAGGCTATGAGCAGTTATGAACTCTGTTTCCAAACCCTCTCCTCTGTCTGGAGGGATGGGGCTGAAATTCCAGACTTCCAATTATGGCTTGGTCTTTCAGGTGACTAGCCCTCATCCGGGGCTGTCTGGGAGCCCCCTCGGAGTTACCTCATTAGAATAAGAGATGCTCCTAGTGTCCTTATCATTTAAGAAATTACAAGAGATTTGTGCCAGGAACCAGGAGGCAGAGACCAATATATATGTTTTCTGTCATCTCACAGTTGAGCATCTTTTCATGAGCCTACTGGCCATTTGTGTATTTATTCTGGAGAGATGTCTGTTCGAATCTTTTGACCATTTCTTAATTGTCTTTTATTATATACTGAGTTTTAAAAGTTCTTTTTATATTCTCAGTATAAGTCCTGTAGCAGATCTTTTACAAATATTTCCTCCCATCTGTGGTATGCCATTTCATTTTCTTAATAGAGTAACAACAAAAGTTTTGAATTTTGACAAAATTCAGTTTATCAGTTTTTTCCTCTTATATTTTGAGTTTTTTGTGTCCTACCTAAGGAATTTTGCCTATGTTTTCTCCTAGAAGTTTAATAGTTTTGCTCTTATATTTAGGTCTGTGGTCCATTTTGAGTTAGTTTTTATTTATCATGTGAGATAAGGTTGGGAGTCTTTTTTTTACATATTACTTTCTAATTGTTTCAGCACCATTTGATTTAAAAAACTGATTTTTCCTTATTAACGACATGTATACTTATATATGTGTGCATGTATCAGTCTGTTTCTGGATCTTTTGCTCTTTTCAATTGATCTATATATTTATCCTTGTACGAAGAACATACTGTCTTAATTACTGTAGCTTTATAGTGGTATTGAAATCAGTTTGTGTGAGTCCTCCAACTTAATTTTTTTTTTCCAAAATGATGTTGGCTTTTGTAGGTCTGGTGCATTTTTATTAAATTTCAGAATCAGTTTGGCAATTCTAACAAAAAAATCTTGCTGGGATTTTGACTGGAATTGCATTTAATCAGTAGATCAATTCGGTAGAAATTGACTTCTTAAAATTTCAATCTGGGGTTTATCTTCGGATATGTTTTATATTTTTCCAATATTCCTGAAGCAAATTTTTATTTATTATTTTTATTACTATTTTCTGTAAATGCTTAGAATTTTGTTGCTTTTTTCAACTTCCCCTTTTGTGACCAAATAAAAATTTTTACCAGGCAGGATATGACCAGCTCTTAGATTTAGTTCCCTTATTTTGATAAGCAAAAGAAAAAAGTAAAAAAAAGAAGTAAAATTATTTTTCACTAAACTAAGATTTTTATAATCCTTAAATTCTGTGCAAACCAATGAGATTTTTTATCTCTTTTTAGGTCCAGATCCTATCCTATAACTTAAAATTAATATTGTCATCTTCTGGGCTGGCGCTTTTCAAAGTATGATTTCTGTGACCGTCAGTATCAGCTGGAGACTTGTGAAAAATGCAGACTCTGGCCCCTGGCCAGACCTGCTAAATCAGAAATGCTGAGAGGGGAGCCCAACAACCTGTTTTCACAAGCATCCCTCCGCTGCCACTCCCCTGCAAATTCTGTCACAGCTTAAAGAACTGCTATCATGGACTTTATTTTAAAAATGGCTTTATTGATAATTAAAAAAAAATGCATGTATTTATTATAGACATTTAAAAAATAGGAATTACCCAGTGTTCCATGGCCCAGAACCCTGGGGAGATTTGTATGAGAATTTTCTTTCTGGAAGGTAAATATCAAGCTTTATCAAAGGAGAGAGAGATATGAAGATGAGTTGTGAGGCTATTGCAGCAGTTAATACAGAAGTGAAATCTATAGGACTTGGACATCGGGGCAATCAGGGATGACTCAAGGTTTTAATACAGTGAGCCTGCATTCTGCAAAGCTCTTGTGGCGCACACCCTCTGATTTCCTCATTGCTCAACTCACATTCTCTCTCAGTATCCATGCAGGGAAGTGGTTTTAGCATTATATAAACAGTCCTGGGCACCCTGGAGTACTCACTGCTGTTTTAATTTGGGGAGATTCATTCATAGCACAGTGTTAGCGATGAAGCAAAATGTAAACTGCTCATGGGAGCTAAACAGGAAATCTTAAATCTGGTGTTTCCCTTTTGTCATTTAGGATGGATAGGAGGCAAAGGGAATTGAAAATAAACCCTCAATTTATTGGGGGAATTGATAGTCTGTAAAAGTTTTTCTAAGTCTCAGTTTACTATAATCATTTTTCATTGACCAGTCTTAGGAAAAAAAAAACATTAAAATAAAGATTTTATTTATTTATTCTTAGAGAGAGGGGAGAGGAGGGAGAAGGAGAGGGAGAGAAACATGGGTGTGTGAGAGAAACATCAATCATTTGCCTCTTGCATGTGCTCTGACCGGGGACTGACCTGCAACCCAGGTATGTGCCCTGATGGGGAATGGAACTGGCTACCTCTCACCATGAGGGACGACACCCAAACATTTGAGCTACACCCATCAGGGTGAAAACATTATTTGAGTATTGTTGGTGATTTCTCCTTTTAGGACTCTAGATTAAAAGAAAAAAAATAACATAGGTTTATTGCTTGAAATTGCCAGAATCTTTTCATAAATAGAAGCATAACCAAAATTATTAGCTGGTACTGGAACCACTTTCTTCTTACTTTAACAGAAATTCTAATCTAGGGAAGCCAATCTCTTACACTGGGTTTTTGTTACAGCAAGTCCTCCTCGTTTTGTGACAGTAGAAGAACTTCTGGAGACAGCAAAAGGAGTCACTAACATGGTTCTAGCCCATGAAATTGTAGTAAATGGAGACTTCCGGATTAAACCTGTTGAATTACCAGAAGACAGGTAAGATGGTTACTGAGATACTTGTTTAGTAGAATACTGTCATTTCCCATTTCTGGAAATGTTTTCTTCACTTGATGTCACCATATTCAAATACAACTCTCCTTAGTATGTTGTTGCTAAAAAATATTCCTATACCAAGAATCACTGGAGTTTGAAAGTGGATTGAAGGACCACTAATCCTTCAAAATGTAAACAAAAGGTGTGGAAATTTCCTGTGGGAATCTTTCATGTTAGCATCTTGCTTTTCCATAGGACTTAGCTCCCTCATATTGTGTTCTCATTGCATTGTTTCATTCATTTCTCGTAACTATCACATTGTACTGTAGTAGTTGGTTTCCTTGTGTTCCTTACTAGATTGTAAATCCTACATAGACAAGCACTGTGCATTACTCTCTGTATCCCTAGCACCTAGCAAATATCATATTGAATTTAACTCTCTGCTGATTGTAAGATGCACTTTTTAAAATGTATTGTCATATGAAAGAAAAAACATTGCCCATTATATTTGTAAAAGTGCCATGGAAAATATGGTTATTCTCTTACAAAAGGAGGAAGAATTGCTGCTGAGTTGGCAAGCTCTAGTGTCTCCTGCAATAAGCTTCCAAATACGACTTTACAGACAATTCTTATGTATTCTGCAAAGATAGTAATTTTTCACATTAATCATGAAGAATTACTTGTTTTGCTCTCATGGTATAATTACTAGTTTTAATGAGGTGTTATGTTATAGTTCAGTACATCATTGAGCAGTTGTCTCATATATCACATAAGAATAGGATATTTTTTAGGAAATAAAGTCCTTCAACCTATATGCATGCTGAGTTGTTATCTTAAACTACTTCACCATACACATCTTAGGAAACTTCATGGTATCAGGAAACTAAAAATTAACAACTCTGAACTTTACAATATTCTTTTTATCATATGGTGCTGTTATATGCTGTTAATTGGACTCATACCATCTGTCAGATTTGTTGAAAGTTATTCTTTCCAGTGAGGTACTTATTGAAATAAATCACTAACTAAAGATAAAGTATGTGATTTATTTAAGAATATCTGGTAAATCTTTCATTTATCCAGATTACTTAAAAAATATCTCACCCTAAACTCATAGGATTTGTGTTTTTTAAAGTGATTTGATAATAGCCAAAAAATAGAAATAATCCAAATGTCTACCAACACAAGAATAGATGAATAAAATGAGATATATCCATATAATGGAATACATTCAGTCATCAAAAGGATCAAAGCACTGATACATTTATATAGATGAGATGCCTGAAAGCATTTTGCCTAGTAAAAGAATCCAGACACACAGTCTACATACTGTACAATTCCATTTACATGAAACATCCAGAAAAGTGAAATCTACAAAGACAGAGAGTAAATGAATAATTTCCTGGAGTTGGGGTAGAACTGGGCAGTGACTGCTAATGGGCACAAGGGGTATTCTTTTTTTTTTTTTTTAATGCTATGTAGTCCTCATTGCCAGACTTAATATGAGATGTTAAATGTTCAATCCAATTTTTCTTCCTGGATATGTTTTTCTTTCATATCTCTATCAGTTTTAAAAACGTAATGCCAGAAGAAGAGGGGGTCAATTCCAGTCACAGCTCCTAAGAATGAGGTCTTGAGAGTGGGTCTGAAATTGGAATAGACAGTTGCTGATCTTGCATAGGTCCAACGAGTCAAAGCAGGATTTTTGATGGGCCTTCGGCGTCTGGCGTTGTTGTACTGAAGCAGGTACTCCCTTTTAAGCCAGAGTCTTATGGCCAATGACTTGGCCTGAACCTTCCGGGTTCCCAGAAATATGCTGTATTGAGCTGGGTCAAAGGTAGGGAACAAGGTGGCCAGGCACGATGGCTTGTGCTCAAGGAATGACATGTTGGGAACTTGGTGCACAATTCAGGCACATGGGGTCTTATTAGAGTGACGGAAGTGTTTTGAGGTTGGATTGTGGTTATGGTTGCATAACATAATAAATTTACTAAAATCTTTGAACAGTATGCTTAAAACAGGTGAATTTTACAGTATGTAAACCATAGTTCAAGAAAGCTGTTTTTAATAAATAATAAGTTGAGGCTCAAATACTTTGTTTTTGCTTTTTTTTTTTTTTTTGTTTTGCCTTCAGTTTGGAGAAGAGAGTAAAGGAGATTGTACATAAAGCTTTTTGGGATTGCTTGAGTGTCCAGCTAAGTGAAGATCCCCCAACATATGACCATGCCATTAAACTTGTTGGAGAGATCAAAGAGGTAATGCGAAGAGCAAATTGTGGTGTTTTTCTGGTGTGTTAGGAATATTCAACCTCTCTGTGTTACTGTTCCAGAAGACTAAAGAAATCAAAGGATTGAGTTCAATTACTTGTCGAAATGTGGATTAAGAGTATTTTTGGCTTAATGCCCTTTTTAAAATTTCAGACAAGCTGTGATAACCTGAACTCATTTCTTTGTAGACAAAAAGTATTTTTAAAAAGAGAATTATTTCAAGAAAACAATTTCTTTTATGAAATGTAGGTGATTTATAAAATTTTTAATAGGTATGGACACATTCCTTTTTTGGTGGTCAAAAAGTGATTCGGCCTGTGGACTATAGAAGGCAGTATGTGAAAGGAAGACAGTGACATTTTTGCAATATCTTTAGCAGTAGTATCAGAGAAAAGATGTGTCCATGGAAATTGGCATCTGTGGTTCACAGGCTCATGTTAATTAATGTATTTTACTTTTCTCACTTTTAGTTACATTGTATCCAGTTGATTGCTACCTGGAACTTAAATGAAAACTTAGTCTAAATGATTTGTAGACATGTTTGTTGAATAAGAGGTTAAAATATGTAACATTATAGTAACAATTCCTAAATCCTCATTTGGCTAGACTTAAATTCCTTTATTTATAATCAAAAATATCTGACTAAGAAGCTGATTAAGCTTGGCTGTGCTTTTTTGCAGACTCTCTTATCTTTCTTGCTGCCTGGTCACACTAGACTGAGAAACCAGATTACGGAAGTCTTGGATCTGGATCTGATAAAGCAGGAGGCAGAGAATGGGGCCCTAGACATTTCCAAGCTGGCAGAATTCGTTATTGGCATGATGGGGACACTGTGTGCACCTGCCCGAGATGAGGAAGTTAAGAAACTAAAGGACATTAAGGAAATAGTTCCACTTTTCAGGTATGAGAATTGTGTTAATCACATTAAGTGCACCTAAAACACAGCGTATTTATAAATTTAGACAAGTATAGATACTCATGCTTTTTAAAAAATTTAAAAGCAAACTTTATAAAATATAGAAAGGTAGAAAGAGAGGAAAAAATCAGCCATAATTTTACCACCAAAAGGCACTATCACTGTTAATTATGTTGATATATGTATTTTTAGTTATTTACCATTAGCTTTTTTGTTGAAAAATTCCAAACCTACAGAACAATATAATTAACACTCATATATCCTTAATGTAAATCAACCAGTTTTTAACATTTTGTCAATTCGCTTTCTTTTTATATATATGTGAGTATGTATGGATGTGTGTGTATTTTTTTTCTCCTGAGCCTTGTGAGGGTTGATGGCAAACATTGTGACATTTCAGCCCTAAATATTTCAGCCCTAAATATTTCAGCAAGTATCTCCTAAAAATGTAGACATTCTCCTACGTAATCAATATAAAAATAAGACATTCAATAAATTTAACATTAATGTAATCCTATTAACTAACATACCATCCATATTAACAATCATTGGTCTTCAGCATGTTTATATTTAAATATATATATAATTATGATTAAATTTATATGATTTTTATGCTAATATGGGTAGAGAATTGACATGATGCTGCCTGGGAATTTTTTAAAACCATTTTTATTGTTTTTTTTCCATTACTGTTTATTCCCCTAACCTTTCCCACCTCCAGCTCCCCCAACCCCCCCTGAAATCACCACACTATAGTCCTTGTCCATGAGTCCTTTCCCTTTTTTCCTCAGTCCTACCACCCCCCATGCCTCTCCCAGAGCTGTCAGCCTGCTCTCTGAGTCTGTCTCTATTTTGCTTGTTAGTTCAGTTTGTTCATTAGATTCCACATATGAGTGAAATCGTATCGTACTTGTCTTCCTATGACTGGCTTTTTTCACTTAGGATAATATTCTCCAGGTCCATCCGTGCTGTCACAAAGTAAAATTTTCTTCTTTCTTTTACGGCCAAGTAGTAGTGCATTGTGTAAATGTCCCATAGTTGTTTTATCCTCTCATCTGCTGATGGATGTCCACTTGGGCTGCTTCCAAATACTGGCTCTTGGTAATAACACTGCAATGAACATAGAGGTGCTGATATTCTTACAAATTAGTGTTTCTGGTCTCTTCGGATAAATTCCCAGAAGTGGAATTGCTGGGTCATAAGGCAGTTCCATTTTTAATTTTTTGAGGTAACTTCATACTGCTTTCCACAGTGGCTGCACCAGTCTGTATTCTCACCAACAGCGCACCTTGGGTTCCCTTTTCTCCACATCCTTGCCAGCACTTGTTTGTTGATTTATTGATGTTAGCGATTCTGCCAGGTGTGAGGTGATATCTCATTGTGGTTCTATTAATTTTTTTAAAAGATTTTATTTATTTATTTTAGAGACAGGGGAAGGGAGGGAGAAAGAGAAGGAAAGAAACAGCAATGTGCGAGAGAAACAGTGATTGGTTGCCTCTTGAATGCCCCCAACTGGCGATCTGGTTGGCAACCAACGCATGTGCCCTAACTGGGAATCAAACCTGTGACCTTTCAGTTTGCAAGCCCATGCTCAGTCCACTGAGACACACCAGCCAGGGCTCATTGTGGTTTTAATTTGCATTTCCCTGATGATTAGTTATGTTGAGCATCTTTTTATATGTCTGTTGGCCATATGTATGTCCTCTTTGGAGAAGTTTGTACTCAGGTCCTTTGCCCATTTTTTAATTGTTTTTTTTTTCTGTTGCGTTTTTTAAATTCTTTATAAATTTTGGATATTAACCCTTATCAGGTGTATCAGCAAATATTTCTCCCATACAGTGGGGTGTCTTGTTATTTGGTTGATTATATCCTTTGCTGTACAAAAACTCTTCAGTTTGATTTAGTCCCATTTGTTTATTTTTTCTTTTGTTCCTGTTGCTGGGTAGATAGATCTGAAAAAATACTGCCAGGAGCAATGTTGAGATTTTACTGCCTGTGTTTTCTTCTAGGATCTGTATGATTTTGAGTCTAACTTTTAAGTCTTTGATTCGTTTTTAATGTATTCTTGTGTTTGGCATCAGAAGGTGGTCTAGTTTCATTTTTCTGCATATATCTGTTCAATTTTCCCAATACCGTGTATTGAATAAATTATCTTTAGCCCATTGTATGGGCTTGCTTCCGTTGCCATATATTAATTCACTCTAAAGGCATGGGTTTGTTTCTGGGCTCTCTATTCTGTTCCATTGATATATGTGTCTGTGTTTATGCCAGTATCATACTGTTTTGATTACTATGGCCTTAGAGTATAGTTTGATGTTAGTTAGCATGATTCCTTCAATGTTGTTCTTCTTTCTAAAGATCACTGTTACTATTCAGGGCATTTTGTGGTTCCGTATAAATTTTTGAAATATTTGTTCTAGTTCTGTAAAGTAGGTCATTGGTATCTTGATAGGAATTGCTCTGAATCCATAGATTGCTTTGGATAGTATGGACATTTTAGTGAGGTTAATTTGTCCTGTCCATGAACATGGTATGTGCTTCCACCAATATGTATCTTCTTCAATTTTCTTCAGCATCTTATACTATTCCAACTATAGGTCTTTTACCTCCTTGGTTAAATTTATTGCTAGGTATTTTATTCTTTTTGAAGCAATTATGAATGGGATTAGTTTTTAAATTCCCTTTCTGGTAGTTCATTATTGGCATATAAAAATGCATCTTATCTCTGGATATTAATTTTGAATCCTGCTATTTTACTCAATTCACTTATCAGTTCTAGTAGTTTCTTGGTGGAATCTTTAGGGTTCTCTACATACAGTATCATGTCATTTGCAAATGACAGTTTTACTTCTTCCTTTCTAATTTGGATGTCTTTTATTTCTTTTTCTTGTCTGATTGCTGTGGCTAGGGATTCCAGTACTGTGTTGCATAAGAGAGGTAAAAGCAGACATCCCTGTCTTGTTCCACATCGTAAAGGAAACACTTGTATTTTTTTGTCTGTTGAGTATGGTGCTGGCAGTGGGTTTGTCATATATGGCCTTTATTATGTTTAAGTATGTTCCCTCTATTTCCACTTTGCTGAGAGTTTTTATCATAAATGGGTGCTGGATTTAGTCACATGCTTTTTCTGCATTTGTTGATATGACATATGGTTTTTATTCTTCATTTTGTTTATGTGGTTTATCACATTTATTGATTTGTGAATGTTGTAGCAACTTGTGAAGCCATCAGATCCAGGGCTTTTGTTTGATAGGATTTTTTTTGATTACTGCTTCAGTTTTACTAGGTGTAATCTGTCTATTCAGATTCTCTGATTCTTCCTGATTTATTTTGGAAGATTGTATATTTCTAGGAATTTATCCACATTGTCCAGATTGTACAATTTGTTGGCATATAGTTCATAATATTTTCTTAAATCCTTTGTATTTCTTTAGTGTCCATTGTTATTTTTCCTCTTTAATTTCTGATATTATTTGTATGGGGCCTCTCTCTTTTTATTTTGATCAGCCTGGTTAAAGGCTTCTCAGTTTTCCTTATCTTTTCAAAGAACCAGCTCTTGGATTCATTGATCTGTTATATTGTTTTTTTAGACTCTATTTCATTTATTTCTGCCCTCATCTTTATTATTTCCTTCCATCTACTCACTTTGGGCTTTGTTTGTTGTTCTTTTTCAGGTTCCTTTAAGTGTAAAGTTAGATTTTTTATTTGAGCTTTCTGTTTCTTGATATAGGTCTGTAATGCTATGAATTTCCCTCTTAGGATTGCTTTCTCAGTGTCCCACAGATTTTGGGTTGTTCTGTTCTCATTTTAACTTCTTTCAAGTTATCTTTTGATTTCTTCCTTGATCTTGTTATTGACCCATTAATTGTTTAATAACTTATTATTTAGCTTCCATGCCTTTGTATATTTTTCAGTTTTCTTCTTGTGACTGATTTCTAGTTTCATAGTATTATGATCAGAGAAGATGCTTGATATGATATAAGTCTTAAGTTTATTGAGACTTGTTTTGTGTGCTAACATGTGGTCTGTCCTAGAAAACATTCCATGTGCACTTGAAAAAAATGTATATTCTGCTGCTTTGGGATGAAATGCTCTGAAGATTTCAATTAAATCCATTTGATCTAGTGTCATTTAAGGCAGCTGTCTCCTTGTTGATTTTCTGTCTGAAAGCTCTATCCATTGATGTCGGTGGGGTCTTAAAATCCCCTACTATGACTGTATTACTGTCAGTCTCTCCCTTTATGTCCATCAAGATTTGCTTTACATATTTAGGTGCTCCTATATTGGGTGCATAAATGTTTACTAAGATTATAGTCTCTTGTTGGATTGTTCTCTTTATGACTATATAGTGTCCTTCTTTGTCTCTTACGATAGACTTGGTTTTAAAGTCTATTTTGTCAGATATGAGTATTGCTACCCCAACTTTTTTTTCATTTCCATTTGCATGAAATATCTTTTTCCATCCCTTCACTTTTAGCTTGTGTGTATCTTTCATTCTTAGGTAGGTCTCTTGGAGACAGCATATATATGGATCTTGTTTTATATGATTTTGTTACATAAAAACCTGTGTAAGTTTGTGTATCTGCCACTGCATTCAAGACACTGAACTGAATATTAGTTGATTGGAGCATCATCCTGTACACCAAAAGGTTGTGGGTTCAATCCCCAGTCAGGGCATATACCTAAGTTGTGGATTTGATCCCTGGTCAGGGTTCATACAGGAGGCATCCGATCGATATTTCTCTCTCACATCCATGTTTCTCTCTCTCCTCCTCACTCCCTAACTCCTTCCCTTCCTTCCTCTCTATAATCAATGAATATATCCTCAGGTGGGGATTAGAAAAATGAAAAAAATCAGAGATACTGAACAGTTTCAACACCACAAGTATCTCTTACATTGTCCTTTTATAAACAACTTATTTTTAAAAACTTCTGTATGAACTTTCAATGGCTGCAAAATATTCTTTGCATATAATTAACTTTTTTGTTAAAATGGGCACTTAGATTATGTATAATTTTTTACTGTTTAACCTGCAATGAACATCTGTCTGCAGGAAACTTGGCTTGTTTCTGTATTTTAGGATATTTCCTAAAGATAGGTTCTTAAAATGGGATGACTACATCAAGTCTGCTCATTGGGTACATTTAGAGAATGAAACAGCAGTTATGCCACCAGAACTAGAAAATAAAGCATGCCCCAAAACTGAAAAAGACCGGGGTAAGGGGAGAGGAGCAAGGGGAGTTAATTTTCTTTCTTTCTTAGGAAAGTGAATTAACCTATGTGAAAGTAGCAACCAGGTGGTGAGCTCTCTGCCCTTTACTACCATGAGTCTTGGGCTCCTTCCTTCCTCTGTGGCTGCCAGGGGCGCTGACCCAAAGCCAAGGAATGCATTCTGGTCTAGACAGGCCATGGGGGGAGCTGTGTTTGCTTGGGGGCAAGGGGTGGAGACTGAAAGCAACTTAAAAATTTGCAGCCTTTTCAAACCATTATTTAAGTTTTTGTGTTTTTTTTAAATTTGCTTTTCTTAATCTACTTTCTCATGATTTTTCTAGCTTTTCTTGTTACCTTTTCTGAGATGAAAAGACAGTCTTAGATCAATTCACCTCTTTTTGTAAGAACAATGTTTACAACTGTCAGCTCTAAATCCTTTTATCTCTTTTCTTTTAGGGCAATTTTTTCTGTGTTAGACCTAATGAAAGTGGACATGGCGAACTTTGCTGTCAGTAGCATTAGGCCACATCTCATGCAGCAGTCAGTTGAATATGAAAGGAGAAAGTTTCAGGAGCTTTTGGAGAAGCAGCCAAGTACGTGTAATGTTTTGTGGTATTCTTTTGTTGTATTTGTTTTTTCATTTTTCTTGCAGTAGCTTGTTGCATAACAATATTACTTTCAAAACAAAACTAAAATTTAATATGAGAATGGTCTAATTTGAAGACAGAAGAGAAGAAGACAAGATATTGTTACTTGAAAAGAAAATTTAATTGACAAGCAAGAGAACGGTAAGAAGGATATAAGAATAGAAATTTGAAGGAAGAAGTCTTAAATAGGCTTTTAATGAAGATACCAGTTTGAGATAAATTATATGCTTGACCTTGATGTTAAAAACATGACAAACTTTTTGTGACCATTGAATTCCCTGTTCTAATTTCATGTTTCTTTTGTTTCGTATTCATAAATCTCCTGTTTTCAGACCCAGAAAAAGTCTTATTTTTATGAACCTCTCATATGACTGTGGGAAATGGATGACTCTAGAATTCAAACCTCTGTTGCATTTCTAGGGCCCTTCGTAGGTCTCTGCATTGGCAGTTGTAAATTGGGTAAATTGCAGTCTTCAGGTCCAACCTATATGCCTAGTCCCCTTTAACCTCTGACTTTGCTGGTCGTCCGGTGAAGGTGACAGGCTTGGTATAGATTGTGTTGCCTGACGAGAATAGCTCATTCGGCCCGGAGCAGTTGCTCATCCAGCTCCAGAGAAAGGAGTTCGAGATGGTGCTGGGGCCAGGAAGAGAAGGAAAGGGCAGAATAGAAGTATCAGTCCTGGAGGAAGACTGACTAACATTTATTACTCACTAGGATGTACGTGCATTGACATATAGAACCCTCACAACTAAGCCTATGAGGTAGGCCCTATTTTTTAACCTCATTTTACAGATGTGGACATTGATTTTGAGAGATTTTTGACCAGAATTGATTGACCACACAGAGCACTTCCTCAAGCAGTATTGTAATGCCCCTCGGGAGACACTCAGGGTTGCAGCTTGACAGGCTGAAGAGCCTTAGCGTGGGAGCCACATGCCAGCAGCAGGGGCCCAGTGAAGGACACGCTGCTGGAATGGACGCGTGACACCAGTCCCTGAACTGACCAGAGTCTGGTACCTATTACTCACAGTGTAAAAGCTGAGGTTTCCCAGAACTGGGGCTGCAGAGAGTGCTGCTGGCAGAGGCTAAAGGAAGAGCAAAGTTCAGAACCCAGAGCTCGGTGTTCTCACTGTGTTGACAGAAGCAGAGGTGTGTCCTCTCACAGCAGCGAACAGTGCACTCCAGCCATGACCTCAGCTGCCCACTGGAGTCAAGGTGGATTCCGCTGGCAGCACTACAGCATGTTCCAGGACCTGTCAGAGGGATTTGGTGCTCAGCTAATGTGGACAGGAACCTCATTTTCCTTCTCTTATGTCCCTCAGAGACGCGGATGTATTACTGAGCTTAGACGAGAAGGGAGAGTGTGATGGTAGATGAAAGACAATTGGTCCCCCGACAGTGCTCCAAATGCTGTGTACTATGCATCAGACAGCTGACAGAGCTCATCTCCCGCAAGGCTGGTAGTAAAGCGGGTTGATACGAGGCCAAGATCTAGACAAGGAAAAGCCAGGGTGGGAGAGAAGAGAGCGAAGGTTTGTCGAACATTGTAGGTACAAGACCTGGCTAGGTGCTTTATATTCACGACCTTGTTTAATCCTCACTACAGACTATGACATGATGTACGTTTCTGTATTTTAGGAATCTGATACTCAGATTATGATTTGCCTAAGATCGTTCTGCCTGTAATTAGCGATACTGTGATTTGAACCGGGTTCTATTTGATTCCAAAGTCCATACTCTACACCGCACCACACCTCCAGGATGATCTTACCTTCCCTAACGTAATCCGAGAAGCATCCCTCCCGAGCGTCAGTAACGTTCACAGCCTTGTTCTTCACAGATTCCCTGGACTTCGTCACCCAGTGGTTGGAAGAAGCCGCAGATGACCTTATGAATCAGAGGTATAAAAATGCCCTGCCAGCTGGGGGAGGAGCCACTGGCTCTGGGGACGGTCTCCTGCCAAATCCTGTCACTGTCCAGAATTACGCCTACCTGAAGCTTCTGAAATGGGACCGCCTCCAGAGACCTTTCCCTGAGGTGAGTGCTCCAGGGCAGCCTAACTGCTCATTTCTTTTTGAGCTGCTGAACTTTTAAAAAATAATAGTTTTATTATGATATAATTCGTTATACCACAGAATTTCCCCTTTTAAATTGTACAATTCAGTGGTTTTGGGTATATTCACAGAGTAATGTGACCATGATCACTATTTCACGTCAGAACATTTTCATTACCCCAAAAAGAAACGCTGTACCCGTAAGCGGTCACTACCCATCCCCTGCCCCCAACAACCCCTAATCCACTTTCTGTCTTTACGGATTTGCCTGTTCTGGACATGGTTAAATAAATGGAACCATACAATATCGGCCTTGGTGCCTGGTTTCCTTCACTGAGTCTCCTTAGTTCTGTTCATCCATGTTGTAGCATGTGTCAGTAGGGTCAGTATGTCATTCTTTTTTTTTAAAAAGTTGTATTTTTCTTACTGTGGTAAAATACACATTGCGAAGTTTATCATTTTTGAGTGTACAGTTCAGTGGTGTTAAGGACATTCGCCCTCCCGGGCAGCCATCGCCACCGTTCCTCTTCAGGACTCTTCGTCTTCAGATTGAAACCCTGTGCCCTTTAAACAGTAGCTCATCCTTCCCTCCCCCTGCCAACCGCCATTCTACTTGGTGCCTTTGATTTTGATGGCTCTAGCTACCTCATGGGAGTGAAATTATATTTGTCCTTTTGTGTCTGGCTTACTTCACTCAGCAAAATGTCTTCAGGTTTCATCCACGTTGTAGCACATGTCAGCCTTTCTTTTTAAGACTGTGTGGCTACACCACATACTGTTTATTCACTCATCAGTTAATGGACATTTGGATTCCACTCCTTGGCTATTGTGGATTGTGCTGCTATGAACATTTGTGTACAAGTTTTTGTGTGAACATATGTTTTCAATTCTCTTGGGTATGTACCTAGGATTAGTTGCTGGGTCATGTGGTGACTTTTAAGTTTAACATTTTGAGGAACTTCCACACTGTTTTCCAAAGTAGCTGCTCATTTTACAATCCCATCTATAGAGTATGGGGCTTCCAGCTTATGCTGCTGAACTACTGGCCCGTTGTTACTCACCTTGATGAAACAGTAGCCGTGATGTCGCCTTTCAATTTTATCTAAGGAAACTTCTTCCCTTCCATGCCGAGCAGTGACTTTTCTTTGTGTGTTTTTCACAATAAATACCTCTACTTGCGGTAGTCCTTTGAGGAGGTGACTAACAAGGATTTCCCCATCAGTCTGCAAACAGTGGGTTTGGTGTACGGATCCCCCTCCCTTTTTTGAGGGCACTCAGGCTTCTGATCTCTAGCCTCAGATGCTGCTACTTCTCTGTCCTTATCTCTAAGTTCCTTTTTTTTTTTTTCAAGACATTCATTGTAAGCCTAAGGTTTTACCTCTTGCCTCTGAGTTCTCTGTTTAGTTCCAGAGGAGGCTCTAAAAAGGGTGCTGAGTTGGGAGTAGGGAGTAGAGGGTAGGCGATAGGAGGCAATTGCTTTCTGAATAGTGGCATGTTTTCTCCTCGAAGGCAGTTCTCAGCCTTAAAAAAATAGCTGTGAGGAGGATGGTGTTTTCACTGGGGACAATGATTTTACTCTTAGAATTGGTCCTTGGAAATCCTTTCACATCCTAAACTCACCTGCTGCAGAGTATTGAGAGGCATCACAAGCCAAGGCACTGCTGTCTAGCAAAATGAAGTAAAAAAAAAAAAAAAAAGAAAGCCAATGAGAGGTCAGTTGAAGCATCTGTGTTTAACAATAGAGTCTCAGTCTTCAAAGATAGTTTTTACTTCCTTAGAGGAAGACTGGGCTAAGACCCCAAATTGTTATAAGTTGATTTGGTATATCAATTTCTTTCAGCGAAATGGGTCATTAAGTTTATTTGATTAACCTGTAAAAAATGAGATCACAAGCCATATCTCCTCATCCTCTCTATCGCTTTCCCTCACTCCACACAGGGGACTTGGCCCCGGTAGGACCCCGGGGTGTCTTTAACACAAGGACATGGTCAGGGAAATGCACTCTGGCTGCTTTCCAGGAGGCTCTGGGTTGTTATATGTCATTCTCACCTTTTCTATTTACTGTTCATTTTCCTCTTTTCTTCATTCACTTAGCAATTCTTGAGAGCCTCCTCGGTGCTAGGTGCTGAGGGTGAGTAAGTGTCGGCTCTGCCCTCAAGGACTTTCTCCCTTCCTTCGCTCGGTCCCAGACAGAGTGACTGAACTGTCTGCTCTGCCCAGGACTGGGGTGTGTTTATGGGAAGGACTGGTGTTACCTGTCCAAAGTCCATGTGCCTGCCGCTTGGAAAGGCTAACACTCAGGACGTCAGAATCTAAAGTAAGGGACGGTTTATTGATCCAGAAAGCACCAGCTACGAAGATAGGAGACCTAGTGCTCCAGCCCACCTTCAGAAAGTACAGAGTTCAGGCTTCTTTTACGTCAAGGGAATGGAACAGGGGAAGGGCTGATTTTGTAAAGCTCAAGCCACAAGCAGAATTCCTCGATGTTTAGCATGTCTGTATGCCAGAGGAAGCAGGATCTGTTAGCCCAAAGGTCTGGAACCAGGTGGAGTCAGAGAGATGGCGCATTTCACTCTAACAATGGTGATGGTGGTTCTTGGGCTCAGGAATTTCAGTTTTAAAACCAAGATAGTCCTGGACAAGCTGGGATGAGTCCCTCACTCTGTGTCTCCTTACTCTTTCCTATCTAATGATATAACTTCTATTTATTGAGTGTTGGCTCTGCCAGCCACTTCATATGCGTGGGGTTCTTTTCGTCTTTAAAACAGCCCTGTGAAGTAGGAATCCTCGTTCTGCATAGGGCTGAGTTGGAAAAAGTTTCATGAGGTCATGCTGCTATGCTGCTATTAAAAGACAGAATCTCGGTCACACCCAGTCTGCCTCATGTTCTTAGTGTGGTCTACTGCAGCCTTTTTGAGGAAGAAGGGACTCTGTGATGGAAGGATAATCCACACATGATTCCTTTATGGCTCTGAAATGACTAAAAAAATCTGAGGGAAACTTTGGCTGCGGCCCCACTGCCCTCTGCTGGCCAGCCCGAGTCTACACCTCAGGGATGGTTTTTATTGTTTTCATTGCAGACAGTTTTGATGGACCAGTCTCGCTTCCAAGAGCTCCAGCTCCAGCTGGAGCAACTGACCACCCTGGGGGCCGTGTTGCTGGTCACATTCAGCATGGCAGCCTCAGGAATTTCCAGCCAGGCCAACTTCGCTGAGAAACTCAAGATGATCGTGAAGATCCTGCTGACAGATATGCATCTGCCGTAAGTGGCTAAAAGCTGTGGAATGGACCTTTAATGGGTGGGTGGGAGGCAGTGAGTGGGCAGAGAGCAGGCTGGAGGTGGGGTCCCTGAGTGCAGGGCAGAATCCGGGGCATTCTCTAGGAACCGAGAGGAAACTTTGCTCTCCAACTTCCTTTACCTCCGCAGAATTTACTCAGTCGTTTGGTCAAACTTAGAATCAGCTCTGAGGTTTGCAAGGCTCTAGGATAATGGCTTTCAAATGTTTTTGATTAGGACCCATACTAAGAAATTTATTTTCTGTTGTGTAGTTGAAATAAAACTTTCGCAAAGTGAAACTTCTCCTAACTATGCTTAATACACCCTGATATTTCTATTCTATTCCATCAAAAAATACTATTTGCTACCCACTGACTTGCTTTTACAACCAACTAACAGTTTGGACAACATAGCCCTAGGGAAAGTACAAATGACAAACAAGCTGTATTCCTCAGAGTTGCATGTACCATATTTTGCCATGTATAGTGTGCACTTTTTTGCCCCAGTTTTCGAGGGAAAAATAAGTATGCGCATTAACATGGCTATAATGATTATATAGCATGGGTATAATAATCCCGTGTATAGAGTGCACAAAAACATGGGTGCACATTATACATGGGAGCGCATTATACTTGGCAAAATATGGTATATGATTAAAGTTTTCTGCCATTTGCACATTCCTCATAGACATTTTGTGCTGGGTATAAATGGATTATTTTATCAGCCAGCACTAATCCACACTTCTGAGGGCAGCTGCTCTAACTGCTCTTGCAGTGAAATCAGATTAGGCGATTTATGTGGTTCACAGCATAGACAATATTTTTGAGTGGTTCTAAGTCAACAAGGTCCGATGAGGTACACTTCAGATCATTCTCCAAGAGGGATGTCCCAGATACTCTCATCCTTACAAAAGAGAGGGATTTTACTGCTGAGTTTGCACAAAGCATGCATGTGTTTGGTGCAGTGAGGAGCGTGTCCACATGTCGGTACTAGGGGTTCAATAGTCTTGACTTAGGCCAGGACGGTGTTTGCTGAGCTGAGGCTTAGCCTGAGGCCCTTGTACAGGTGTGACGCTGAGCTGTCACCTAGGACCCCTCCAGTAGGACTGCTGTGCCAAAGCTGATGAGAGGGGCCGCATTCGGCGCTTCCTTAGGAGTCCAGCCCTGCGCGGCCGGTCACCCTGGCAGCCAGAGCTGTGCCAGCAGTGAGTCCCAGGCTTGCGCATCTGCTTCCATTAACTCCCCTGTTCAAAGAACCTCAGCCGGAACAAAGGCAATTAATTGCTTTCTCACAGAATACCCACCAGCAGGAGGCTCCCAGTAGGTGCTTGAGAGCCTGGAGGCCCCAGGAACCCCAAATACTAGTTTTCCTAACCTTTAGATTTCAATTTTGTTCATTCTTTTAAAGTAGTTAGTACACTCATGTGCTTTGAAAATCAAAAGGGTAGAAGGGTATTGAATGAAAAGTTTCCCACTTCTGTCCCATAGCTACCAAATTTCTGGTTCCAAAGTGTATTGTTCCAGAGATATTCAAGATTTCCTTCAGTCAATGCCAGGCTTATTTCAGCACACAGATGCTAGTAGCAGGTTGGGTTTGGGGTTTTTGGTCCTGATATAGTCTGAGTTCTCCCCTTCCCACTGTCCTTTCTGGGGTTGGGAAGAGAGAGAGAGAGGAAGGGAGGGAGGGGATCGGGGAGAGGGACAGTCCCTGAATCAGGTCAGGTGTACGCAGCCTGAGAGGTTAGGGTAGGGAGGGGAGCCACAGATGTTCCCTTCGCACACATCAGTCCATGAATTGGTTATTATGACTCACCATGGCATGGGCAGATGTGCACTTTGTTTATAGGTTCTCTCTTGCCTGGCTTTTCCTTTCCGTTCTCTGCTCAAGCTCCTTCCATCTGAAGGATGCCCTGACTACCATTGGGGAGAAAGTCTGCCTGGAGGTGAGCAGCCGCCTTTCCCTGTGTGGGTTCACCCCCTTTACCACGGACCAGGAGACCGTGCTCAAGGGCCAGATCCAGGCCGTGGCCAGTCCTGATGACCCCATCCGCAGGATCATGGGTACGTTTAGGGGAAGGCAGGAAGCAGGGATCACCACAACGTGATTAGAGGGACCCAAAGGCTTGGGCAAGTGACCAGGCAGGTATCACTGTTCTGAAGGCTGCGACTTGGAAATTACAGGCCTTGGTGCAAAAGCCTGCTCCAGCAAAAGCTGAATGGTTCGTGGTGATCAGATTTCAGTGTGGAGTAGAAGGCTGGCCCAGTGGTGGGCCTGCTTCTAATACTACGATTTTTTAAAAAATTATTCTTAATAAAAGAATGCTCTTTAACTTTTTCTCATATTTTATATACAAAAAAGAGTTACATGGATTAGTGTTTTGTTTTTTAATTATTTAATCCCAGCCCTGCGTTGGTCACAGTGTCACCTGTGCGATCACTCCGAAGCAGCTCCATGAAGATAATTGCCAGGTCCTTGGATCATCAAGATTAATGTTATCGACCTTGGTAGAGATGCAAGAAAGCCTGTAGATAGACCCCTGACACCCTGGTGGTTTAGTAGCAGCCAGTTATAGACATAGAGATAAAAACCAGCCCTCAGGTAGGAATGATATGAGGACCAATACTTCTGGGTGCGGCTTCCAGCTCTGGGAACCTTAGAAAACTAACCTGACTTCGGAACAGGGTGATTGGACATCCAGCCAGCAGTGTCTCTGTTGGTGTGTTCTGCTGGGTGGAAGTCATTTGCATCTGAGAGGGTTCCCCAGGGCAGGGTGTAGGCAAGAAGTGTGAAAAAGCCCATTCATTATAAATGTCCCTATTGCTTTTGTAATAAAACCTATTAAGAAATGTGGCTTATACACACAGTTTTTTGGCTGATGAGGATACACAGGAGAATGCAGAAGTATTGTTGAGGGGAATGGGCTAAAAAAGCATCAACCTAAATTATTCCTCAAAGTAGGACAACTTTATAAATGCCCCCAGTTCCGTGGCCTTCCATTATAGGCATCAAAGAAGGAAGTTCATGCTTCTTTCATACGGGCTTAGTGGGAAAAGACAGACGACAAGCCAACAGCGCTGGAATCTTCTCTTTTTTCTCTTTTTTTAATCCTCATCCTAGGATATGTTTATTGAGTTTAAAGAGAGAGGAGGGGTAAGTGGGGAGAGAGAGACAGAGAGAAACACTGATGTGAGAGAGAAACATTGATCAGTTGTTTTCTGTATGCACCCTGAGCAGGGATTGAACCCACAACATAGGTATGTGCCCTGACTGGGAATCAAACCCGCAACCTTTGGTGTATGCAGAATGACGTTCCAGCCAACTGAGCCACCCAGTTAGGACACTTCTTTCTTTTTTGAATTTGTAATTCCGGCTTTATTTTTTTGTCCCACTTTTTGTATGATCTTCAGCAAGATTAGTGTTGGTCTCCATATGTCTTGTTCCTCAGAGAGCAGAACCTGTTAACCCTCTAGTCTCCCTTTTTATATTCATATACTTGTTCTTGCTTTTCAAATGTATTTTGAGCTTTTACAGGGGCCAGGTTTCACGCCGGGCACTGAGCTGGATGCTGGGGAGAGAATGATGAGCACGATAAGCCATCTTTCCTCCTCTCATGAAACTAATGAACGATCTAGAGGCGGGGAGGAAACATTACAAATGGGATGACTGTTCAGAAGCGCATGGTGCTTTAGGTACTTGATCCAGGGGGTGGTTGGGAAAGCCTTTCCTGAAAAGGTAATGTTTAACTTAAAAACTGAAGCATAATCAGAAGTTTGTAAAGTCACCCTGAACGAGAAACAACCATCTGCTTTCTTTCACATCACAGATTCCCGAATTCTGGCCTTCTTAGAAACTTGCCTTGCCTCGGGTCATCAGAAGCCGCTGCCCACAGTACCTGGGGGACTGGGTCCAGTCCAAAAAGAGCTGGAGGAAGTCGCTATTAAATTCGTTCGCCTGGTCAACTATAACAAGATGGTCTTCAGTCCCTACTATGATGCAATCCTCAGTAAGATCCTTGTTAGCTCCTAACCTGTATGCTCCCTGCAGCAGCAGTATTATCTACTCCACTCAGAATACCTGTTCTCAACTATTATGTTGCTTTGGAAAATGGCTATTTAGTACATTTCTATTTAATAGCATTGATTCCAAAAGGAAGAATATTTATTGTGCGTCAGTGTTGAAAAGACTTGTTGAAAAATGCACTGAATTCTATTTTGAGGGTTTGTATTTCTGAGTGCAAGTTTACAAATCAAAGCAGCTTTTTGTTGTCTTGAGTTTCATAGGTAGCACCCGGCTTTGGAATGGTTGACTGCCGTGTGTCTCCGCCGGTCTCTGTCATGGCTGGGGCTGCCTCTCCTGGGAGCCGGGGACCTGTCTTCTGTTATCTGGGTAATTTTTCTTTCAGACACCCACGAATGGAAGAGAATAAGCCATGACCTTGTTTAGACTCTTGCCCCTCTGACACAGCTTCCCACCCCGCCTCCTTCCAGGCGTTTTGTGTTAGAAGGGCTATATATAGTCTTACTGCCAACCCCCCACTGCCCCTATTTATTGCTTTTCCCCACCTGACTTAGCAGACCCCCAGGCCCTTTTGTTCTGGAGAAGAGTTACTTGATTTTAAAAAGCTTATTCTTTTATACGAAATTACTCTTGAGCCTGGATGGTGCCAGTTATGATTTATGGAATCTAGAGAGAGGAAGTTCTTTGACTTTTAAGCTTTGAAAGTTGAGGAAATATATATATTTTTAAATATGTGTTAATGTACTATAAAAGGAAATAAATGTCTGGAGTTTTTACTGAAAAGTCACTGTGATACAATGCACAGATGTAGTGACTGGATTAGAATTCCAGAATTAGAGTTAAGTGTTTTCAGATAAAAATAGTATGGACTCATTTACTTCTTTGATAAGGAAGTCATATAGAAATCCCTGGGTATTGAGCAGTATTTTTTAAGGAACTTCAGTGTCCAGAATTCCTGGCATATTTTGTGATGAAAAGAGGAGTTTGGGTCTCATAGATGACCTGTTCTATTAAAAAGTAAAATGCGTCCATGTGCATGTGTATTTCAAACAGAGACATTGTAGTAGAAGCAGAGCCATGAAGTTGTTGGAGTGGCCCCCAACTGCCATAACAGCAGGGGATGAAATAATGCAAGGAATCCCTTTATTAAAGGCAATGAGGACAGAGATCGAAGATGGTGGCAGAGTAGGTGAAAGTGACAGTCACCTCCTCCTGGGACCAAACCAGAATTACAACTAAATTATAGAACAGTCATCCTGAATAAACAACTAAAGACTAGCTGAAGGAAGTCTTATACCAAGGATTTACAGAAGAATCCACGTTGGGACTGGTAGGGAGGGCGGAGACACAAAAGGGGCTGGCCCCACTTCCACAGTGGCAGCTGAGGTTCCAGAGGGATATCTCAGTTGCAAGGGCAGGGGTTCTCCCTAAGGAGTGTGGGGTCTATACCCCAAGCTGTGCTCCCCAGCTTGGGACACCAGAGCCGGGAAGAGGTGCCCACATAACATCTGGTGTGGAAAGCTGCAGGGTTTCTGTCCGCCAGCGAAACTGGAGGCTGCAAGAGGCACAGGCACCCTCTTAAAGAGCCAACACATAAAATTTCCTTTGCAGCCACTCACCCTGGGCTCTGGCAGAGGGAGGGCAGAGTTGACTGAAGTTGCATGAGGAGAGTCTGGGGTTTGTGGCTCTAGGGAGGGAGCTGAAAAGATAGCTGCCAGGGTCCCTGTGCTGAATCATTTCCCATACTTCCTCGAGTGGAACACTTCCCTCCCTGTGTCATCAGCCTGTGGGAAAGCAATAGCCCTGTCCTTTAAACTCCCTCTCACCCCAGCCTGTGGAGCTTACGCCCTGCTGAGGAGTACAGCCAGAGACCCTTTCAGTGACTGAGCCTAACAGGAAGCCATGAGGTGGAGGCAGATCATCCAGTGCCTTGGGACTTTCGCCGGCTTGCCCCCGGGCCCGGTGCTGGTAAAAGCCAGCTTTAGTGCACAGTTTGGTCTTTCCCACTTGTACCCAGGCCCAGCAGAGGCAGCCACAAACTGTAGATCGCTTGTAACTTCAAACAGATTGTTGAAGGCCAGTCACAGGCAGCGTATTATATTGGCTTGCACCAGAGTCCCTTCCAAGAGGTCCAGAACTAACACCCATTGACCAGCTTCAGTCAACATCAGAGCAGGATCCAATAAGCTTAACAGGTGGTATGTCCAAAGGGAGATCTTGGTAGGCGCCAAACCCTGTGGAGGTGAATTATGCTTCGTGTGGTCAGCAATTGCACAGGAGCCCACATGTCATGGTTGGGTTTGAGCCTCACGGTCAGCCAGCCTGAGGGTCAGTCCCATGCACAAATGGACTAATAGCAATCAAGACTCAATTGTGTTCTGGCCGTTGTGGCTCAGTTGGTTGGGTGTCCTGCAAGCCAAAAGGTTGCTGGTTCAGTTCCTGGTCAGGCCACGTGCCTGGGTTGTAGGTTAAGTCCCTGGTCCAGACGTGTGCAAGAGGCGACTGATCAAAGCTCCTCTCTCATATCAATGTTCCACTCCTTTTTCTCCCTGACTTCCCCTCGTCTAGATTCAACACAGGGAAAAATTTTTTTGAAAAAGACTCAATTAGGACAGGATGGCCCACATAAGCTACACAAGGGACATTCCTGGAGCACCCAGCTCAGGTGATCAAGAATACTGCACCACTGGACCCCACAGGACACCTACTACATAAGGCCACTCCACAGAGACTGGGAGTGATAGCAGATCTATCTAAGACATAGTAAGAAACACAAAGAGGCAGTCGAAATGGGGAGACAAAGAGACCCTAAATGGAAGAAGAGGAGAAATCTCCAAAAAAGAACTAAATGAAATGGAGGCAAGTAACTTATCAGATTTAGAGTTGAAAATAATGGTTAAGACTGCTCAACAGCATGAAAAAGGACCAGTCAGAAGTGAAGAATACAGTATCTGAAATGAAGAATACACTGGAAGGGTTAAACAGTAAGTTGGTTGAGGCAGAGAATCAAATCAGCTATTTGGAAGACAAGGTAGAAAAAAACATAGCAAAAAAATTTTTTTAAATGAGGTGAGTAACAATATCTTCATCATGGAAATAACAGAGGGAGAAGAGAGAAAGCAAGGGATTGAGAACCTATTTGAAGAGATAATGACTAAAAGCTTCCCTACCCTGGTGAAGGAATAAGACACATAAGTCCAGGAAGCACAGTCCCAAACAAGATGGACCCAAAGAGGCCTACACCAAGACACATCATAATTAAAATGGCAAAGGTTAAAGACAAGTAACTTAAAAGCCACAAGAGAAAGACAGTTACCTACAAGGGAATCTCCCATAACACTGTCAGCTGGTTTCTCAATAGAAATATTTCAGGCCAGAAAGGTTTGGCATGAAATATTCAAAGCACTGAAAAGAAAGAACATACAACCAAGACTACTTTACCCAGCAAGGTTATCATTTAGAATTGAAGGAGAAATAAAAAGCTTGTTATCACCTAGCCAGTATTACAAGATGTTAAAGGGCCTCTTTGGGGAAGGATAAAGAGAAGAAAACAAACAAACAGGAGCATAGTTAAAAAAATAAAATGGCACTAAATACACACCTATCAATAATCACTTTAAATGGCTTAAATGCTCTGCTCAAGATATACATATACATATATATATACGTATATATACATATATATATATATATATATGTTGTCTATAAGTGACCCACCTCAAAACAAAAGATACACACAGACTAAAAGTAAAGGGATAGAAAAAGATATTTCATGTGAATGGAAATGAAAAAAAGTTGGGGTGTCAATGCTTATATCTGACTAAATAGACTTTAAAACCAAGGCTATCGTAAGAGACAAAGAAGGACGCTACATAATGATAAAGGGAACAATCCAACAAGAGGATATATAACCCTAGTAAACATTTTTGCACTCAACATAGGAGCACCTAAATGTATAAAGCAAATCTTGATGGACATAAAGGGAGAGATTGACAGTAACACAGTGATAATAGGGGATTTTAACACCCCACTGACATCAATGAATAGAGCTTCCAGACAGAAGATCAACAAGGAAATAGCAGCCTAAATGACACACTAAATCGGATGGATTTAACTGATACCTTCAGAGCATTTCATCCCAAAGCAGCAGAAAATACATTCTTTTCAAGTGCACATGGAATGTTTTCTGGGATAGACCATGTTAGGACAAACAAGTTACAATATATTTAAGTAGCTTGAAATTATATTAAGTATCTTCTCTGACCATAATGGCATGAAACTATAAATTAATCCCTGCCAAAAGAACTGAAAATCCATAAAGACAAAAACTAAATAACATTAAACAATGAATGGGTTAACAATGAGATGAAGGATGATATTAAAAGATACCTTGAAACAGGCAGTGAGGGGTGGTGTGGATTAAGGGACAGGGTTGGAAGTGGCTAGAGAACACTGACCACGTGTCCAACCTTTTGGCATCTCTGGGCCGCAATGGAAGAAGACGAGTTGTTTTGGGCCACACATTAAATACATTGCAACACGTAATAACAAAAAAATCTCAACGTTTAAAGTAAATTTACAATTTTGAGTTGGACCACATTCACAGCCATCCTGGGCTGCATGCTGCCCATGGGCCACAGGTTGGACACCCCTGCCAAAGACTGTGTAGTGATACCATGTGTCAGAGGCTTGAAGGGTTATATTGTGGGGGAATGCAATTTCTCCAAATACACGTCACACATTTTGCTTGTTTTTGTTTTGTTATTGCAGTCAGAGATGTATGCTGCATTATGTGGTCAGAAGTCATATTCTTAAAGTTTAGACTCAAGACCCTGGAAAGGGATCAAAGTTCAGTAAGTAGAACTTTTAAAGACCAAAATCACATCTTTTCTAGTGTATTCAATGGGGTCACTTCTGGAATTGGTTCTGTAGTGAAGGTTGCACCACGGCAGCTGTGCTGCTTATGGGCTGTATGATGTTAGCTTTCAAGCCTGAGCACCCAGGGGCGGTGCTCCTTTGCCAGCCTCAGCCTCCTGAGTGTTTGAGGTTTTATTCCCTCCCCCTGCAAGAATGAAGGAGAGGAAGCTGACCACGCATACACTTCCTATAGTTATTCTTTCTAAATCTCAACAATTCTTTTTGCCTTCTTTTGTATGAGTTAACTCACAAGATTTGTTTTCCCTCTTAAGTTCCTAAATTGATAAAGTTAAATTTGCTTGAAATCTTAATGCACATTATATAACAGGGAGCTTCACAGACTCTCTGACCACCCCCGCCCCTCCCTCTCTCTTTTCACTGATGTTCTTTCTACAAGTGGCAAAAGCCAAGTGTGAAGGAGGCAAAGTTCAGAAACACAGTATTTATATTGAATTGTTTTATTGTTGCTTTGTGAAGACAAGTGAGCTAATTTTCTTCCTGGGATCTTATAGGGTTATCACCGAGGGCCAGGGAAATTCACTTAGTTCATTGAGTCACTCAGGAAATGTTTGTTAAGTGTCTACATGTGACTCCTCTCCAGCTCTCCCTCCAAGACAAAATATCCTATGGCATATAAATTATCCTTCAGAATGAAATTAGTTCTATTTACTACACATAGATTGGACTTGACATGATTTCCTGCCTAACAGGTTTGCGGAAACATTGTCAGAACCACACAGATAGGATGTCTTACCAATTAAATGCAGTCGACAGATGTGTAAGGACTTTTTTCTCTGTGAAGAAAAGTTACTAATAAGTTTGACGTATTAGACATGTAAGAAGCAGGTACTGTCTGACAATTCTAAAGGGACCATTCAGCAAGTCTGTTTTTGTGGCAGTGCTTACTTTCATTTCTCCAAGCCTTCAAGTTCCTGGGAATAGAGAGGGCCACTGCCCCAGCTTTCTGGATGAATTTCAAAGGGAATAGGTGTTTGCGGTTTCATTTCCAGTGACTTTTTGGCATGCCCTGACTTGTGTGTATGACATTTGCATTTTTTAATTTTGAGGCAGGACAGTCAAGTGGAAAGATGGGAACTGTCAAGAAACCAGTGTTCTGATCCCATTGCTGTTATGTCCCAGCTGGCGCAAATCGGGACCCATTGTCAACACCTGTAAAGTACAAGCACTAGGCTTGACTTTTCCAGGTCTGACGTTCTGTGACACAACTGACTTGAGTAACTTAATAGACTGCAGTGGGACTGGGCACAAAGCTCCTGATTTAGAAAAAGGTCTAGGTTTGAGTCTTTCCTCTGTTGCCTTCTTACTGGTTTCGTGATATTGGCCAGTCTTTTAGGGACTCAGAATTTTCATCTGTAAAATGGCAACGTTTACCAACTCACTCTTCCTGTGTGCATTAAATTTGATAATGGATGTTAGAATGCTTTGTACATGGAAAAGGACTAAAAATTGCTTTACTAACAACGGAGAGCATATAACGCTCTACCTGTAGGTGCACATCTGTTAGTGGGATAGATTCAACTGTTGGTACTCAACCTGCCTTCGGTCAAGCCTATTTCATAGGCCTACAGGGAAAGTTTTCCTCCTTGCCTGTCCCAAGACTTGCTTTCTTCCACCATCTCTTCTGTACTAGAGCTGCAGTCTTACCTTTTCTTATCTCCCATCATCCACTTTCACTTGTGATTCCTCCCCATCTCCCCTCTATATTCTTATTTGAAGAAATGAATGAATGACAGTCATAGTGGATGATGGACTATGACACTCATTTAAAGGCATTATCTCATTGAAAATATAACCTAAATAAAGAACTATAATATGGTTGCAGTTGTGAATTTAAATTGCATTTTCTATTATATAACTATTTCTAATAGATAGCCTTTTATTCATAGTATTTAAAGCAACTTGATCGGATAGGGAAGGGGAAAGCCTTTGAACCCAATAAACTCTATTAACCTAGTAAATGTTCATTGATACTTGCAGAAATAGCTGGAGTCGTAGAAAATAAGCATCAGAAACTTTGACAGGCACAATTTTACTTAAAACTGCCCCTAGTATGAGTTTCTATTACATCTGATTATATTGCCTTGTGAACCTAAGAACTAGAGCTAATCTATAGTATAGGCTCAGTCTGGTGGAGTTTCATTTAGTTTTGAAATCAGACGTGTTTGGAGTTAGGAGCAATAGTCAGATTTCACCATATTTAGGTTTGTCTTATCTGAACTAAACATTGAGAACCTCCTTTAAGTGCAACTTCTAGCTTAAAAGCAACCTTAAAATTGAAGTAACACCCCTCTTCTATTTTCCCCATTCTCATTCACGTTGCCTCTGCTTTTTTTTCGTAAAACCACCTCTGCTTTTAAAAGCACTGTCGTCTTTATGCTCAAGAGTAGAACTTTAGTGAGGGGTCATCAGACAGGGAAGAAAATTTTAGTAAACTGCTGAATTGTTTTTCTTGACTTTTATTCCCTATACTTGCTGACACTTGTTGAATATTTAAGATTTTACTTAAATCAGTAACATGGTACCCGAGTTTTGTTCTTGGTGTGAATTATCTTTCAAGACTCATGAAATTTTTATTTAAAAAACATAATTTTACTTGCTGAATGTCACAGTCAAGGAAGAACTACCAACTTTAATGAAGTTTATTTTGGGAATTGAAGTATAAAAAAACAAAATCTAGGAACATGATTATTATACTTTTACTACTGTGTAAATGAACTCTTAGTTTTACTTATTAAGGCTGATGGAGGGTTATAAAATTACCAAATAAATTTGTAATTATTGACCAAGCTCAGAATGCTGTGTATTTTCTTTCTTTTCCAGTAGTACAATTTGGTTGTTGTTTTACATTTACCAGGTAGTTAGGACCTTTTACTGTACTAAGTGTGGTAACACAGGCATAACCTTGTTTGAAATTTACTGCTATAGGCCATAGATTTTGACTGATTTTTGTTTAGAAAAGACTTAGTCTTTACATTTTATCCAGTTCTAGAATTGTAGGGATATTGTCATTGTTTGTTTAAGATTTATTTTTAGAGAAAGGGGGAGGGAGAAAGCGGGAGAGAAACATCAATGATGTACGAGAGATAGTGATTGGTTGCCTCTTGCACACCCCTAACCAGGGACCTGGCCCACAACCCAGGTACGTGCTCTGACTGGGAATCGAATCTGCAACCTTTTGGTTCAGGCTGGTACTCAATCCACTGATCCACACCAGGTAGGGCTCATTGTTTTTATAAAAAGAAAAAATATGGATTTTTTTTTTTTGAAATTTCCCTGGGTCCAGCAATAGAGATACCAGAGTCCTTGGACATGTAGGACTGGCTGTGCCATGAGTCTGCACTTTAGATTTCCAAAAGTAAGTTCAGATTTCTAACACTGTGCTACAGCTGTGTTCACAACAGGAGTGTCAAATATTCAGACAGAATCATATTAAAAATTCATATATGTCTGTAGCAGTTAGAACACTAGAAAATGTTTTCTTCTAACAAGAAATAAATCTTTTTTGTGTTTAAAGATCAGATCATTTCTAGGGGAAAATATCTTAGAAAAAAATGCGGTAGGAGCAATTATAATATATATAGTACTTAGTAGCACTTTTCTCTAAGTGAAACAAGTCTGTTTTCTCTGTATTACAATGCTAAAAAAATAATTTCTCATGCACATTCATGTCACTTTCTCATTCATGGAAACACTATTATAGACCATTCTGGGTATTTGAAACCATTTTGTCTTCTTCAAAACACTGTCCAAAGAGAGCACTTCAAAGCAATTCCCTACCTTTGTATTCTATTCTCAGATCTATGCTATATGGTACTTGTGCCTTTCAGATTGTTGATAACCATGATATAAAAAACTCGCACAGCCCTAAAAGTGAATTTGAGAGTGACAAAACCTGAATGAAAGCCATCAGACTTTGTTTTGAGGTAGCTTAGCTTAGAGAAAAAACCAGTAGACACATGCTTGTGATCCACTTATATAAACATAACCTCACTGCATATACGTTTATATAGAAAATGGTTCAATAACCTTCATTCAACTTTAAATTTTGTATTTTAAAGTTTTATGTATTTGAATATGATTTTAAAACATAAGGTTAAGATATAATCACATTTGAATTCAAATTTTAAGTGTACCCAATATGTTTCTTTATAACCATAATACTTTCATTTTTTCCCTGATATTTTGCTTTTATTCTGAATCACAACCCTTAGTCTCAACTAATTTTCTGTATAGATTTTCTAGAAATGAGTCAAGAGGAGGTAACGTAACTAAAAAGCAAAACCTAATGCTTTGGACTTACTTGTATGACAAGTGTATACTCCCTGTAATTAAATTTAGTTAATTGGCTAGTTTTCTTTAGCGCTATCTATGAAACAATGTTCTTGAGCACTGAGGACCTTCTGAAATATAGTTATATTAGAACAAGACAGTGAGTGGTTAAAGAACTCCCGCAAATTGCTTTTAAGAGAGATGATGATAAAATATCTCAATCTACCTCAGGTTAATTGGGGGAAGTACTGAATTTTTCTAAAATGTTGAATATGCCTCTTAAAAATGGATTCCCTCATTATTTCCAGTTAGTATCAAAAAAGATCCAGGAGGACATGTATTTCACACAGTAAATATGACCCTTCACTGTATTGTTGATATTTTTCTATTTTTATTAATTTTAGAGAGAGGAAGGGGAGAGAGGGAGAGAGGGGACGGGTGGGGGGAGTGGGAGAGAGACATTAATTTGTTGTTCCACTTATTGATGCATTCATTGGGTGATTCTTGTATGTGCCCTGACCAGAGACTGAACCTGCAACTTTGGAGTACTGGGATGACACACTAACCCATGAACTACCTCGCCAGGGCTGACATTTATTTTTAAACTGTACTGGCTGAGTAACATAAAATAAGTTAGCTATTTTAAATAAATTCCGAATGAAAGCAGAAGGCAAGACATTTTTGAGATCCTTTTATTTTTTAAAGGATTGTTTTAAAATTTTAAACTACAAAACAGATTCCATACATTCTGCCATAAATAAAAACAAACAATAAGGCAGGACTCTACATAAGCAGACTGAGAACAACTGTTTTCAGAAAAATGTGATAAAATGCTTTACAATCATAAGCCATCCAGTTTTTAAAATAAAACTGTTGAAACTCACAGGTCTTCAAGCGGCACATACAAGACACCCTTGAAGAGGGAACAAAATGTGGTTCTGCCATTTTGTACTGTTCTCACATTTCTGAAAACCTAATTTTGCTCAGAGTGTAAGTTCCATATTCTAAAATTCACACAGGTTGGTTTATTTTCTTTCTCAAGAACCATATGATAGAGGCACCAGTGACAATACAACTTTGTTTCCAAGAACCTTGTAACAAAGCATTGTCTCTTTTAAACATATGACTTAAGAGGCAAAAATGGGAATCCTGGATAACAGTTTTCCTTTCAGAGGCAGGTATTGACCCCTTTCACCGAATTCGCTTCTGCTGTCGTGCTCTATAAATGTCGTGAACAGGAGGGACGACAGCCCCCTTTTCTTCATCTTCATCTGAATCCTCATTGGGCCTTTTGACGGCCTTGGTGAGCACTGCATTACTTTCCACCGGGCCGTTGCCTTCCACCGCCAGCTCTGGGGCTCCGCCCGTGATGATCCGCACAGCTTCCTCCACAGCTATTGAAACAGAACAGAAAGGACTTTTGGAAGATGCTGAAAATTACACTGCTATGAAAGAGTATGTAGGTACTACTTTGGATACTTTACAGTTCATTTCATAGCCTGCTATTAACAAAGCATGGGATAGTACTACTGACACTAAATAATTAAATGAAAAGACAAACACTGCTGTTAAAATTAATAATTGTTTTCATAAGCCAAGTCTAATGGTGCACATGGTGCACATTCAAATGAACAGAAAAAATAAGCTTTTATGACATTGTACTTAGTGAAATTAGAATACAAAGAAGTCTCTGTGCCAAGGAAGGTTTGGATCACTCTTGGGTTTCTTTGTATGTCTACAAGATGGCTTGCTGGTTTTGGAAACTCCAGTAGCAAAGAATAAAAATTTCTCTTGCAGAGGAGATGACAATGTGAATTTCACTCTAAGGAGAGGAGCTTTCACCACTTACTATTTGGTATCTTGCATCTTCGGAAAATTTCCATCAGTTCATCCACTTGTACAAAAGGACCCTATTTTGATATAAATAAGTTTAGTTTTATTTTTTTAATTTTTATTAAGATTTAGAATTCTCTTTCAATTACAGTTGACTTGATCGATTGATTGATTTTCAGAGAAAAGGGGGAGAGAGAAACATTCATTTGTTGTTCCACTTATTTATGCATACACTGGCTGATTCTTGTGTGTGCCCTGACTGGGGATGGAACCCGCAACCTTGTGTCAAGACAATGCTCTAAGCAACTGAGCTACCTGGCCAGGGCATAGTGGACATTCAATATATTAGTTTCACATGTACAGCGTAGTGGTTAGACATAACTTATGAGGTGACATCCCCATAAGTTATGTATCCCTAATAAGTCTAGTACCTACCCGGCACCATACATAGTTAGAATATTACTCACCATGCTGTAGGTTCCCTATGCTGTAGTTTACATCCCACACGACTGTTTTGTAACTGCCAGTTTGTACTTCTTAATCCCTTCATCTTTTTCATCCAATCTCCCAACCTCCTCCCATTTGGCAATCATCACTTGTTCTCTGTACCTGTGAGTTTGTTTTGTTTGTTCATTTATTTTGTTTTTTAGATTCTACATATAAGTGAAGTCATATGGCATTTGTCTTTCTCTGTCTGATTTATTTCACTTAGCATAATATCCTCTAGGCCCATCCATACTGTCACAAAATAAATTTTCATTCTTTTTTTATGGCTGAGTGATATTCTATTGTATGTATGTACCACATCTCCTTCATCCAGTTGTCTACTAATGGACACTTAGGTTGCATCCACATCTTGGATATTGTAAATAATGCTCCAATGAACATAGGGGTGCATATCTCTTTTTGAATTAGTGTTTGAATTTCTTTGGGAGGTATCCAGAAGTAGGATTGCTGGATCATATGGTAGTCCTATTTTTAATTTTATGAGATATCTCCACACTGCTTTCCACAGTGGCTGCACCAGTCTGCATTTCTCAACAACAGTGCACGAGGGCTCCCTTTTCTCCACATCCTCACCAACACTTGTTTGTTGATTTATTAATAGTCATTCTGACAGGTATGAGGTGATATCTCATTATGCTTTTAATTTGCATCTCTCTGATGATTAGTGACACTAACACAAATTTTAATCCCCAATAATCTGACAAGTTAAAATAGCACTACTTTACACTTACCATGACACAAGAGAAAAAGCACACAGGTGCTATAACACACACAGCAAGTATCTATCATGAAAATTGTGAACTAACCTGGAAACAGATAGGAGGAGGGAGAAGTTTCATTAAAACAACAGCTGCAGGAGGGACTGGGAATACGCCACCGGGGACAGGATGCAGACCTGGAGCTGTAAGAGAAAGAAAAGTAGGAATCAGGTGGGTTGCAGGAATTTCTGTGCATTTAACAGCTAAAATAAATCATTTGCCCATAAAGATGTTCTACGTCTATGTTGCTTTGTTCTGGACATTTTAAGTTGTGTTTAGTGTGTTACATGTTTTACCAAACTCGAGGGTTAGACAGTGAGAGCCGTCTCAACCCCATGGCCACTGGGAGGTGGCTTTGCGTAAGACAGCCCAGGGTCCAAACTCAAGTCCATTTTTGTCAAATGCCATTTCTAAGCCTCACAAGTTATTTGCTCAGCAATCCTGTTTAAGGTCAGTTATTCAACAATATATTTAATCATAAGGTCCTGGTTCAAATAGGATCTAGAGGGACTAGTGCCCATCAGTAAGTA